AAGTACATCAGTTCATGTCGCCATACCACATCAGCACAGAGATGTAATTGTCAATTCAAATCCAATAGTAGAAGAGATAGTAAAGGTATTAGAAGTAATCGGAGAGGTTAGGATTAGAAGATATTATTCAAGAAGTATGATTCAATGAGATAAGTTTAGAAAGTAAGAGCTAGAGGTGTTGAAGAACCCAGAAGATTAGGATTTGAGAGAACACAAAGAATAAATGCACCGGCGCCATTGCGAACGATTTTGAGCCATGTCATTCAAGGTCTCTAGCCATCGATTATTATCATCTCGCGGACCCCAACCAGGTAGTCGACAATTACCAACATGGCTAAGTCCACTCGTCAATGACTTCATGGATTTATGCCATGTTTTGGTTTGGCCGCCCCTAGCTTTTTTTTTCAAGGTTTCTTACGATTGGTGAATTTCGTCTCGCGGACCCCAACTAGGTAGCCTACACATACCAACATGACTCAGTCCACTTGTCAGTGGCTATGGATTTCTGCTATGTTTTGGTTTAGCCACCCCCAACTTTCTTCCAACCTACTCCTACACTGCAGTCGGTGGTTAGACATACGTACCACATGACCCAACCACCTCGACTGGTGAAGTTTCAACACTTCATCTTTTGACCTGCAATTCCTACGTAGTATTCGTATTTTAACGATAGCATAGCTTACTCGGTTGACCCACGATAAACGAGCGATGCTTCGGAGACAATTTTCATCGAAGACAAGCAATCTACGAATGTCCACTACTCTCACAGGCGATGTATCGCATCCATATAGTAGGACAGAGAGAACTGCTGCGCAGTACACTCGTCCTTTAGTCAGCAAACGGATATCTCGCCTACGCCTTAAGTGACGCAGGTCGGCAAAAGCCAATCGAGCCTTCTGTATCCGTGCTGAGATTTCGTCAGTCATCAGGCCATCGGCACTGATGAGACTCCCGAGATAAGTGAAGTGGTCTACACTCTCGACTACTTCACTCCCTATCACTAGTTCAGGTGCCGATGAAACCCAATCTTGAAGCAACATTTTGCATTTCGAGGGGGAAAACCGCATCCCAAACATGCTTGCATTGTTGCTTAGGGTAGTCAGAAGACTCTGCATTTTGTCAGCGTCTTCACCAAGTACGACAATGTCATCGGCATATTCTAAGTCAATAAGCGAGCCACCTGGTAAAAGGTCTACTGAAAATTCAGACGAGGATAAGGTTATTTCTAGGAGCATGTCTATGACAAAATTAGACGAGAATGGGGAAAAAGGATATCCCTGACGGACACCACTTGAAGTAAAGAATTCCGACGACAGTTCACCATAAGCTCTCACTCGACCAGTGGTGTTCGAGTAGAGCTTGTATAAGATCAATGTACTTCTTTGGTACACCTTTCAATGTCAGACACTATCACAGAACCTCACGATCAACAGAGTCAAATGCCGCCTCAAGTTCCAGGAACACAACTATTGTTGGACGTCTAAATGTGTTTCTGTGTTCCACTACCTGTCGTAGAGTGAAAATGTGGTCTATACAACCACGTCCAGGTCTGAAACCAGCCTGGTCTTCTCTAGTCTGCTCTTCACATGCTCTAGTTAGGCGTCTAAGGATAATCGAGGCTAACAATTCAGAAACTATATTAGTTAGACTTGTTCCCCTGTGATTGTCACAAGAAGACTTTTGTCTTTTCTCATAAATTAGGACAATCGGGAATTGAGTCCAGTTGGATGGGATTACGTCCAGTTCCCAGATTTTACCTAAGATCTCGGTCAACCTAGCTGATAAAACTGGACCACCATCCTTAAATATCTCAGGGGTCAAACTATCGGGTCCTGCTGCTCTCTCTCGCTTCAGATTTCCTAACGCTTTCTCAACGTCATTAAAACTAGGGGGACTTAGGTTGATTTGCCATTCAGGATGACTGGAGATCGTGGGTAACCACAGCCTTTTTGATATCATTCCAAGCTGGCTCCGGATGGGAATCACTTACATGGTCGGTGGATGCTCCTGAGATACACGGCTTCTTCCTAGCTTTATGGTTTACCTTACTAGCAGATATCACTGCTGTTTCCACAGCCTTTTTGATATCATTCCAAGCTGCCTCGCGATGGGAATCACCTGTTTTTCTGGTTGTTCCTGAAATAAATTCTTCGCATTATTATCATTCAGTGAAACCCGAAGAGGCTTTCTTACGGTTTCCTTCCTACGCCTAGTAAGCTTCAAACAAATACGAGCTCGCACTAGGGCATGATCTGAATCTAGAAATGTGCCCCAGAACGAGCGACAGTCGTCCATGGAACCCCTCCATCGGTGGCTGATGGCGTCCAACGTTGAGATGACTTTGGAAATCGCCAGGTCAACAGATGCTTTTCCTTATGCCTGAAGTTTGTCGGAGCACAGTTGCAACAGACGGTCGCCATTGTCTGTTCTCTGAGCCGCGACACCATAAGACCCACCAAGGTGTCTTTCATTTTTAATTAGTCTGCCTACTTGAGCATTAAAGTCACCAGCCATTATTACTATATCAGAGCGCCTAGCTTTTTGAAGGATTCCGAAAGCTTTCTGTAGAACTCATCTTCCACCTCGTCTGAACTGCAGTCAGTGGGGGCATAGGCAGATACCATGAAGAGGAAACGGCGAGTGTCCCTATCTTTCGGAGTCCTTACTGTCCCGTTCAGTCGGAGAGCGCTCAAGCGACTATCTACTGGGATCCAGTCAAGGAGAGATTGTTCAGCTCTACGACTCAATGCTATGCCTACGCCAGCAAGACCACTGAAAGCAGCATCAGGACTACCGGATACACGAAGTACAAATCGGGCTGCTTCTTTGTTTTGATAAGGTGAAATCAAATTAATTTACTAAGATCCTGTATGCGCGTTTCCGAGGCGCAGCATACATCGATGGCACGAGTTTCTAAAGTCCTAGCTAATGATGCCTGTTGCCCTATTTGACACAATGTCCGTACATTAAATGCTCCAACATGTAGTCTGGAACGGGGTTTCAAGAGACCAGGAATGACGTTTCGTGAACTCGCATCGTTTGCATTAGCGGTGCAGTTCAGATAAGTAAATGTGAGTAGAGTTAGTTGTGGAAAAAAGAGAGGTATGTGTGGGTGTAGGAAGGATTTGATTTTGACCAATTCGGTCTCGCGTGCTGTTACGAGTATGAGGGCGGTTATCACTTCCCGGCTGCCCACACCGTGGAAGGTTGTTTCTTGAGCAACCTGAAAAGGAAAATAGATTAGTGTTGGTCTTAGAGACCTGGGTGCGTGACCGCAGAGCCCAATGGACAACTGCTTGAGGCCGGTCACGCACGGCCTTTTTATGAAAGGTTTTTTGAGGATTAGTTCCGTTCTTGAAAGACCTTACCGACAGAGACGAAAATCAGTGAGGCAAGGTGAGGTGTGACATTTTTAGGGTCGACCTTTTCTAACCCTTCCATCCTTGTGAGAAGGCAGCATCGCTGCAGATACTGGTTGTCCGAGGGAAACACCTTACTGCTGTCACACCCCTCCATCACAGTCAGCAGTACGACTTCGCCCTCAGACCCTGGGTAGCTGCTTTTAGTTTCATCGTTCTCCAATCGACCTGACTTGCATGGTAGAACCTTCAGGAACATATGTTCCAGCCAGTATAGCTCGGTTGGGTCATCACGACAGGCAAGCCCGACCACACGTCAAGGTAGCAGCTACGGTCGGGGTCACAAGCATTTGATGACAGGCTTTTTCGAAGCATTGTTCGTGTATTCTAGCGTAGGCGAGATATCCAACTGCTAACTAAAGGACGGGTTTACTGCACAGCATTTGTTTCCGTCCTTTCATATGGGTATGAAACACGGCCACTGAAAATGGAGGATATTCGTAGGTTCCTAGTATTCTATCATAAGTGCCCTCGAAGTATTGCTCGTTGTTTTGGGTAACGATAGCAAATCGATTGGAGTGGTGACTCTTCATCAGCTGAGGTGGTTGGTATATGCGTTATGTATGCATAGCCACCGACCACCCTGGCAGGCGATGCTCTCTGATGTAAGATTAGGTTGAGATGCAAACGAAAGCATGACACGTTAATCTAGTTGTTGACGACTGGATTGGGCCACGTTGGAAGGTGTAGTCGACCCAGTTAGAATCTGCGTGATAATCGTAAAGAATTTGAATGACATGGCTCAAGATCGTCTGTAATGGCGCACGTGCGTTTTTGTTCGCTCTTTAATTAATTATTCTATGAGTCTATATTTTCTTGAATCTTATCTTTGATCCCTATACTCTCCAATTACCACTAATGCTCCTGCCTCCTATACTCTGGAATTAGGCCTGACCATTTCAATCTCTCTGTGCTAATGTTGTATGGCAACCTAAACTGATGTACGTACGTAATAAACTCTACGTTAAAAAGGACTAACAACTCAAAACCACATTGTGACAATCAGTTTATCGGTTATTTTCGGTTAATCAAACCCTGCGGTAGAGCCCTACTGTATACGCAAGGAAATATTCATGTGCTCATAGTAAATTACACATGGTAAATTTGATCCTCATTTCTCTTACTTTCTCAAGTCGAACGAGAACGGGTTATCAAGATGGGTATTTAGTTAAGCTAATTCTTCAAAATACAGCAACCAAGAATTGCACATTTGGGATACCGAAATAAAGCTTATATCGATTTTCAGTATTTAACTAGGTAAAAGATGCGTATAAGTTACCGATGACGCACTCAAGAATTGCTCATACATGCTTGTTGATTATGTTCGGATTTCAGTTAGCAACAACTTTCAGTGGTGACCCTAACTCTAACTAACTAAAAATTGTTTCTAAAGGCGAAATCTCCCTGGTTTTGAGTTACTAGCTTTTAGGGATAATTTGTGAGTTGATTAAAGGTAAACTTGTACACCAGTTGATCCTGACTCTGTAGATCATGCGACCACGATCAAAAACAAAGACCCTGGTTGCAAGATTATGGGCGTGAACTTCTGAGGATGGGTAAGGATAAGACGGTTGTTTAGTGCTCTCGAGAATTTAATGATTTAATTTGTGATATATTTAAGTTCATAAAAACAATAAACACTTGAAAGATCGAGATACTGATTTATTTATAGAAGAAAATTAATAAAAAACCTAGGCTTCAACATCGCAAACTAGCAGATGACATACACAGAAAGTCGACAGCTGCTCAGATCAGTGGTGGACAAACATAGCGGTACAAATAATGGAAACGAACAACTAGAAGTACATACACATTGAGCAGTAGCTTTCGGTTGGTTCAACTTTTCATGGCTAGTGTATCATGCATATAGTTCCTGCTTGGAAATCAATTTGTGGTACTCATATTTACAGATGGATGGAATCTAATTTACATGATTCGATGGAAATGAAATTGTGTTAAATTACTGTGGTTATTATAGTAAAATTAGAACATTAAACCATAATTCCAAAGGTTATGGTGATACCGAAATCTCGATGTGGTTGTGGTAAGTTCCAGAGGAAACATTTTGCTTATTTTGCAAAACTACCATTGAGTTTCCATTAGGATTAGTGTGGATATTCGTATTTGCATTTTTGTAAGCTGGTTGCTCATCTTCACAAAACTGTTCCAAACGAAAGTGAATTGTCGCAAACGATGGTCGCTTGTTCTCATCAGCTGCCCAACATTCTAGCATAAGGTCATACAATTCTGGTGGACAACCGGGGGGCTTCGACATGCGGTATCCAGCATCTACTTGTCTTAGAACTTCTGCGTTGTGCATTCCTGGATAAGGAGAACGACCATACGTGACTATTTCAGTCAACAGAATTCCGAAAGACCATACATCAGACTTTATAGTGAAACGTGAGTAATTAGCTGCTTCAGGCGATGTCCACTTTATGGGGAATCTAGCTCCTGCGTGTGCTACATATTCTCTGTTCTGCAATTTAGAAGAATGAATAATAAAGAGAGAAAAGTGAGAACTATATGTAAAACATAAATCTCCAATGATTGATTAAGCAGCCTGGAATCTGTTCAAATTACATATCCGCTATTTCGCACCAAGCAAAAAAAAGTAGCGAAGAACTAGAAGTAAATAGAGAAAATATGTAGTTCGATAAAAGCGTGTTCAAGCTCCAATGTACGGTAGGTATGCTGATCAATACCACGACGCTTTTTTATCCAGCTTTCTGAGCTATAAGGGTTAATTATGTACCTTTTATTGTTGTTCTGTTGGCTGTCTCGTTTAGTTGACGACTGACAATGTGGTCACTCGATCTTTCCCACATGGATCTCGACGTCAGGAAACCTTTCTATTTAGATCCTGGCAGGATATTGAGATATATCACTAAAGCATGTGAATGCAAAATCACAAAAACAAGTTTCGTCTCTGTATAATCTATTTCATTCTGATAACTAAAATGTATCCAATGAAACTAAACGTAATTGTTATTTGGATCGCACTATACAGTTGCTAAGTACCTGCTTTTCGTCTATGTAATAATCTTATTCCGGCTTACTATACCTACAAACCAAATGTCTGAGAATATTTAAATATTCCTTATTCTGATAACAAACATTGACGTAAAGTAGTTTCATGACATTTATGAACACATGGCTTATCACAATAAGTATTTCTGTATCCAAACTTTTGGGTAGAAAAGCCTTCATATTAACATATTTAAACCGCTAATTAGCTAGGTTACTTCTGTACCTCGATCATGTTATTTTCAATTGACTTCATTAAAAGTGAAAGGTTGTGTATATATAATTGAATTTTAATGTTTAAAGCCTATTTTATGCACTAAACGTCCATTCTTAGGGCGCATAATGCTTACGAAAATGTTACATATCACAAAGTAAAAAATATTTTTGTTTAGACTGTCTCAATATAAGTAACACACGTATTGCGATAATGGACTGTTAATTTTTTTAAAGTGAACTAAAAGGGTAAAAAAACTTAAGCAAGAAAGAAATGATGACCTGAGAGTTATAAAATTTCGAATATCAATCGGACTATCAATAAATGAAGAAGGAAATCATTGGTATTTGAAATTGTTTCTACATGGGAAGTATGCTGGAAAAATTAAGATTTCACATCACACTACTTATAAGTAAGTGGAATAAATAGAAGTCACATATTGGAGAGGGCAGTTAAGGTATCCGAAAGATAATCTACTGCATAGAATAGTTTGTTTCATCTCTACTCTCCATGATTGATTGTTAGAACTGAAACACATCGTCACAGCCAAAAATGTAAATCGTATGCAAGGGAAGTCATGAACTACCATAACATTAGCAGTGATGATATGTTAGGCGATAACTATGAAACCAAATCCAAACTTATATTCATTCGATATGTATTAAAAAATAGCTTAATCAGCAACAACAAATAGGTCGAACGTAAGAAGCCTAAAGAAAAGAACAGAACTTGATTTTATTAAATATGATATTGTATTACGTTTATCATAGTTTATATTAACTCTTATTAATTCACACAAAACAAAGTAGAACAGAACATTTATGGGTGGGTGGAAAACTAAATAATACAAACCAGAAACGTTTTAAATTCTAGTCAGACTATAGATTACTGGACATTCGAACTGTTTAAAACTTTTAAACAAATCATGGTAAATTGTATATGGAATTAAATCGATTCCAGTTGTCACACTTTATATCAACGTATGAAAACAAAATCGATGATAAGCATAAAGCAAGAAAAATAAACATGAATATACATCTAATGTGTATTACAGAATGAATTGAAAAAATCTATATTTCATAATATGTGTGTAGGCATGTGTTTGAATTACACGACTATTTAAACAAAAAACTTGACATATAAACAATAAGGTCATTCATTCTATTGGAAGACAGGAATATTTACCTTTATATGATTCACATACTCAGAGTACACATAATTAATATCATAGTTGGACACAAAATAATTCATTATTATTATTACTAATTAACTATTACATCACCGAAAACATTATAAGATGACAGAACCCATATTTGAGAAAGAAACAAGTCAATGAAATAAATCACAGTAACGATATAATATAGGTATTGGTTGGTTTTTCTTATAAAAAAAAGCTTCCAAACCCCATCAGCACCCAAGTAACGGCTACTCATAAAATGATCCTACAATTAATAAGAGGGAGACTAGAAGCATTTGGTTTCTAACCAGAATCGATAAATTCACAGATTCTCATTTTAGTGGAATCTGAAAAGAATACCTTACACCAATCTAAAAATCAGTTTTAACAATTGACGTTATATGAGTTTATTAGTATAAGGGTTAGGCATTTTTCGATAATGTCGAATACCATTGAATAAATAGGGACTTCAAGGCAGTTTATAACACAATACATCAGCTGGATGCAATAAACCACTGAATAACTAAGAGATCAGTGCTTTTGAAGTCGTTTGATGATTTGGTGGGTCATCAACTATGTAACTCACAACAAAATTTAAATATTTGTGTAAACCTTTTTGAGTCTAGATTTTTTTGTTTGCCACTGTCGTTAATGGATAAAAGCTAAATTTTCAAAGACACAAAAGATAAATAATTCAATCGGAAATTCTGATGATTATACACGCTTTTAAGTCATTGGAAAACGCAAATCTCAGTTATTTCAGTTGTCATTATTTCTGGGAAAGATCGATAATATTTTTGTTCGAAGAGATGTATCTACACAATCAGATAACAAACGACCAATAACATTGTGATTATGATAACTACTACTACGCGATGGTACACACAACATTCCCAATACTCTTGATATGAATGGTCTAAAGATGATGGTGCATTATCATGTCAGTTGGAAGAAAATAGATTATAAAATATTTTTCGCGGGTGTCTAGTCAAAATAGTTTACATAGCCCAATGAGTTCGAATGTTGAATTTAGAAATTCAAGGGCACAACTTAAATAAGAAATTGGGCATTCATTTATAATTGAATAAAGTTTGTTTCTTTCTCTACTTTTGAATGATGATGGTAAGGGGGTGAAAATATATTTTTTGTTTACCTATTGTTCAATATTTACTGCAATTTTAATTTCAACAAAAATGAAACGTTGCTTTGTTTTCTGTCTACAAGTGTACTATTTTGGGTTACTGTTCAAGATTATCTAACGCATGCAAAAAATCCTTGTAAATTTAAAACAAGAGAAGACATGAATTTATTTGTGTTTGCGTATTATAATGCTGCATCATTTGGTTTATTATTGAACCAATACTATTTATTAATTGGCAGAGATTATGTTCGTAATATTTTCTTCGAGAAGTTAGTAAGTAAATTTTGTCGATGAACAATGCCAGCTTAGACTTTATTTCGAATTAATCTATTCATACTTTTATAGCCGATACGGGAAGTTTCTGAAATGATCAGTAAGCCAAGTGAGGACAGAGCTGAGAACCAGTAATAACATGAGTAAAGGAGAATATTAAATGTGAATTTAAATGAGTTTCCCTCTAGATAATTGTCTTTTATCTTTCCTCAACAAATACTGAACCATGATTCTTCTCCAAGTAACATTACTTAGCCATTATTAAATATAGAGCATGAACAGGTAAGGTGTAAACAGCAATCAGAACAAGAGTAGACATATAAGGAAGGCGCCGTCAACATAAGTCAAACCTCTATTGATTGTTTTTTCATATTATTCAAAATACATAGGGGACTATACAACATGATATTTCCTGTAATCAGTTTTGATTGACGTCTAATGCCCAAGTTGTACCATAAGTAACGCCATCAATTACTGGGAGCATACTTTCAAAAGTAGGTACACAACACAAAATAAATTATAAAACTTGCCTGTTTAACAATCACAATGATTAGAATTTTTAAAATGTAAATTCATTGTGCGATTCAGCAGAATTCTATGAACGATAGTTACACTAGTCTATATGAGACAATAAATTACTTGACAGCTCAAAATGAGCATAGAGCACCAGTTGAACAAACGTTTCTAGCTAAATTCTATCTCCCATATTCTTTTCGCAACACAGTAAAAACATCTAAACACAGATTAGTAAAAAGGTGGGAAACTATCAGAAGTTTTGTTTGAAGTAATATGTATAAGACAACTTTAAATATTTACTTCCGGACAGTTTTCCATACATCAATCTCCTGCGCTAACATAAATTTTACAATTATAATAAATCCAATACCAACTTAAGTGATAGTGAGCGTCATACAACAAATTTTATGAATTTTATAGTTTACAACGGAAATATTGACAAGTGATTAATGAAGAGTGTAATATGTGAGATTTTACATCTGTTTTTGAATGTTCAACGAAAATGCAAAAACAAGCTTTTTCGAACGTTTTTTTGTTCGGTTAGTGGATGAATGTTGTATAGTATGCACAGGCAATAATATAGTGTCCAACATGTGAAGTTACCCACGTGTCTGGTGTGAACATAACACAGACGGATGAGAAAAAAAGTCAAATAGAGAAATGAAATTCTTGATGAAAGTTATGCTCTTATATGTAGCACTCATCTAATAAATGGACGAGAAAACGTTTGATACAACAAACACATTCAGCATTGAACAGTTGGTCCATAACCTCTTTAACAATACTTGCACAAAAATATTTACTGCAATATATTCATCATTTTCGATAGTTTTTGTAAGCTATGACTTATTACTTAACAATGGTTGAAGTAGAACTAGTAAGATGAGATCAGGCATCGTTCTCAAACTAGAATTAAAAGTATGTATATTATGATCAAAATAGGCAGACATTTGTTACTATCAGTATTGAGAAAGACAAATCGGTACACTGTTTCAAATTCAATGTATCATGCCGTTTTACGCTGGAAAAAACATAGAGAGGTTTGTTCATTCAAAAACAATAACATTCATAACAAAGTCATAAGCTTTGTTTTAAATTACATGAATATATATGATGTTTAATCTGAACAAA